TCAAACAGAACCCTTCCTAGAACGTGGTTGTATAGATTATGTGCACTTCAAAATATTTGTATGTGAAATTTCAAAGTTCTATTAATAAAATAAAAGGCTCTAAGCCTTGAATTTATTTTATGAATTGTCTTACACTCTTACTTAGTTACTTAATGGCTTGAAATTATATTAAATAAATTATAAATCTATTATAAATTTATAATTACTAAAAACTTTCATTAAAAGTCTTTTGTTTTAATATTTTATAATTCTTTACTTAGTTTTCTAATTTTCGTTTTAACATAATAACATTTAAGTTTATTAAATAAGTCAAAAATCTAGCCGTTCAAACTTTAAAAACATAGTAATTTTCAAAAAACTAGACGTTTTAAAAAAAAATACACTTAACGCCCACAAACCTGTCCCGTCCCATCCCGCCCCATTCCGTTCTGTCCCGTCCCGTTTGTTAGCGGGACGGGATGGGATGACCGTTTCGTCTCGTTTGTCCCGTCCCACCACTGTCCCGCTTAAATATCGTCCCGTTCCGTTAATTTCGTCTTGTCCCGTCCCGTTGGACAGTCATAGTTTGGACATGGATGGACTCAATTAGGGCCGAAACTGATTGAATTTGGGACATAGCTAATCTGGTTAAATTAATACGAAGAGACCAATGGACTCTGAATTCGTTAGGTCAATGCCATTCGCCATGGTTTCGGTTGATTGCTCTTTTAATACCTAAATAGCAACGATTCTGTTAGTTTAGCCAATTTTGTAATTTAGCCATACATAAACAATTCGTAATTCCTAAACGTCCTTGAAATTCAATAATTGCAATTAGTCTTTGTATATTCCTAAGGCTCCCATACCTATAACTATAAATCCTTAGGCTTTCATGGAAAATTCTAAAACAGCTTCTAGAAAGAAAAGTAAATCGATTCTTAAATATCGTATAACGCTTCAGGCGCGCTCTAATTGTGATTATGTACACGTTCGCATGACATAATTATGATCTTCCCCAAATAAATCAAAGTACGCGTTCGCACGACTTTGGCAAAACAATCCTAAGTTAACAAAGTGTGATTAATTGTGTAGATGTACGCGTTAAAATAGATTTACACACATGTGATTTGCTTCGAAGATAAATCCATAACGCCATAATTAAAAGCGGTGAAAAGGTAAATTATATAGGTGAAAAGGTAAATTAAAAGCGGCTTAATTAAATAATTTTATTAAGCCAAGTATGATCAAAGCGACCATGTTAAAACTACGGAATCCGGAAATGCCTAAGACCTTCTCCCGATTTAACATAATTTCTTATCCGGTCTTCTGGTTTTCGCGGACTTTAAAACATAGTCAAATTTTCTCGATTTAGGATTTAAAATAAACCGGTGACTTGGGACACCATAAAATTATCCCAAGTGGCGACTCTGAATTAAATAAATAATCTCATTTCGATTGATGTCACTTTAATTGGAAGAACTCCATATTCCTTTGGAAAAAGGAGGTGTGACAATAATCATGTCATCTATGTAAATAAGGGGAATAGTAATACCTGAGCTGGACCGATATAGGAATAATGAATAATCTGAGATGCTCTGAGTGAAACCAGCACCTAGGATTGTTGTTCGAAAATTTTCAAACCAAGAGCGAGGAGCCTGCTTTAGTCCATACAAAGATTTTTTAAGACGACATACCTGATTTGCGCTAGAATATTTATAACCTGGTGATGGATTCATATAGACCACTTCTTGCAAGTCTCCGTGCACGAAAGCATTCTTGACGTCCTGTTGATGTAACTTCCAACTTTTTATTGATGCTAAAGCAAGCAATATATTGTCGTCATCTTAGCTACTAGAAGAAAATGTTTCATCGTAGTCGATTCCATACTCCTGCTTGTACCCTTGAGCCACCAATCTTGCCTTGTATTGATCTAGGGATCCATCAGCTTTCATATTTATTGAGTACACCGATCTACTTCCAATAGTTGTTGCATTTTCGAGTCTATCCACCATATCCCATGTATCATTTTCCTCAAGGGCAATCAATTTTTCATGAATTGCATCCTCCCAACATTTCTGACCACTTGCCTTCATATAAGAACTTGGCACAACTATAGAATTTAATGTTGTTATCAAGGCATATGATCTGCCATATGTGAGTATCCATATCAATCTGGAGGGGGAACGTGACAGAGTGATTGTCTAATGGCATTTTAACGAGGAGGAGAAGGTTGGTTATTAAGATTTAACGGAATATTATGTGTCTCAAGTTGTTAAGGTAAATAATTAATATTTGCTGGAGTAGTATCATTATCAAAAAAAAAAAAAAAGGCCAGAGTCATCAGTAGTACCTGTTGTAGCAGTGGGCAAGTTCGATGATGGACCAGTGGATAGGTTGTTATGGCCAACAGAATTATGAGTGAAATGTTTTGCAAAAAGGATTTAAAAGAATTTTCAAAGAAGATAACATGTTGAGAAATTCTCAATGAATGACGTATTGGATCATGACACAAATATCCTTTTTGAATATCATTGTATCCCACAAAAATACACTTAACATCTTTAGATGATAATTTATGACGTTCATGATCTTAAAGAAGAACAAAACATACACAACCAAATACTTTAAGATGAGTAGTCGGGCAATTTTTTAAAAAGAATAAAATAGGGCAGTTCTGTTTAATGATTGAAGATGATTGTCTATTTATAAGATAAATAGATGTTTAAATGGCTTCAGCCCAAAATATTTTTGGAACATTTGATGTATCAAGAAGAGCTAATACAGTTTCAACAACATATCTATTTTTACGTTCCACCACACCATTTCGTTCAGGTGTACAAGGACAAGCATGTTGATGAATAATGCCTTTTTCTTGAAAAAGGTTAGTGAGGTTTGTATTGACATACTCCCCTCCCGAATCTGAACGAAAAATCTTGATCTTTTTTTTTTCAAACCGGGTTTCTATAGGGTTATAAAATTATTTGACAATGTTTGGTACCTCAGTTTTTTGTTTCAAAAAGAAAACCAAGTATAACGAGATGCTTGGTCAATGAATAAGATAAAATACTTGTATCTCAAACGAGATATATCTGGAGAAGGACCCCAAACATCACTACAAATTAAATCGAAAGGAGTAGAATAAGTACTATTGCTTAATTGAAATGGAAGTTTATTACTCTTTGATCTTGCACAACTCTCACAAGGTAATTTTGGGGGCAAAATCAGTGAGCGTTTATCCAACAAAATACAAGATTTCAACATAAAATTTAAATGAGAAGAGTGTGGATGGCCTAAGCGAAGATGCCACAAGTTCCACATTTTATCTAAAAACTCGATATCTTTTTTTGAAGCCGATAGAAAACATTGATGAAGCTTGGAATTTGTAGATTGAAGAAGGAACAGCCTGCCAACCTTACGCCCCCTGGCCATCGTTTTCCCTGTCAATATTTTCTTAATAACACAACCGTTAGGAGAAAATATTACCAAACAATTCTGTTCTACGGGTTGTCCAACAGATAAAAGATTTGCAGTAAGTTTTGGTACACAAAGAACTTTTGAAAATGGTCTAATGGAGCCAATGCCTGATGCAGATAAAATATGACCATTTGTTGTAACAATTTCATGTGTAGAACACATTTTATATAAATCAGAAAAAAAAATTTAATTTCCTGTCATGTGGTTAGATGCAGCCGAATCAATATGCCATACCATTGAATCCGAAATTATATTCTTACCGGGGTATGTAGCAATCAGAGCTGTAGAGATTGCATTAGGAAGAGCCGCCGCCAATGATTCTTGTATCATTTTATGGATATTGTTGCGATCAAGCAATGATGGTGTTTGATGTGTACCAACATCGCTTGCCATCACCTGAAAGGCTTTATGAGGAGCTGAGCGTTTTCCTAACGAACTAGGTTTCTTACGGCACTCTAGAATAATGTGACCATCCTTCTTACAATAGTTGCAATAATTTCGCGTCCACCGTGAGCGATGATGTGTCATGTTTCCTTGTAATGAAAACACTTAGCTGACTTGTTGGAGTTGCCCAAGGAAGAAGAACTTCTGTATGCAGCCATGGCAGTGTCCATGGAAAGGGGATTCTCCATAGAACCTTGAGACCCCAATCAGGTTTCTTCTCGAAGAACTTCGGAAACCACCACATTCAAAGCTGGTAGTTTTTCCTTGTTGAGAATGCTGGCACGCAACGGCTCGAACTCAGACCTGAGTTTCATCAGGAATTGGATAGTCCTTATCCTCTTTATAGTAGTCATGAGATCCTTCAGTCCAGCCGTAGGGATTGAAGCAGCAAAAACCTGATCTTGCTCAGCCCATAATGTGAGTAATCCAGAATAAATGAAACAAACATTTTTCTCACCTTGTTTCGATTCTGCAAGTAGCCTTTCCAACTCAAATTCTCTAGCCAAATTTTGTTAGTTACCGAGGGAATGTAGATGACTCCACATTTCTGATGCTTTCTCAAAGGATGTCAGCTCCATAGCTATATCAACAGAGACAGAATTGATAAGCCATGTGCTGATTTTACCATTGGCAGCCTCTCAATCTTCTTTTTCTTTGTCGTCTGTGGGTACATCCTTTGATCCATCCAAAATACTAAGGAGACATTTGCTGAATTCTGAATAAATTATATATGCATATTCAATCAATTTCTAAATACAAATACAAAATTATGGACAAAGTGCTCATTAATACATTGGTCCTAAATTTGAAAAATATGGAGACAGATGACCGCCTAATGGAGGATATGGTCGGGCCGAGAAGTGAACTGTATTGCTATTAGGATTGACCTTCAACAAGCAAAAAGTATTCTTATGTCATAGTATGTATTACTACTATATAGAAGCTGGTTGGGAAGCAGCTGGGGTCGTCATGCCTGCTTACCAAGGGGCACTTTGGTCATTTCAAATTAAATTTTTAATTTATCTTACGCAGGAATAAGTTATACTTTATGTTGCACATGCTGTACTTTGGAGAGAAAGTTCCCCAAATTGCATATAAGTCCAACACGGTGAATCTAAATCATCAGCTTTTCTTCTCTCTTGGCTCTACTACTTCTACAATTCCTATAATCTTTTGGAGTTGTCTTTGATTTAAATTATTATTTTCGTGTATTCCATGTACACCCACCTTCTCTTGCTATGAAGTAACCCCTTCACCAGGTATCAAAGTTAATGCTTGTGATTCCTAAAAATTCTTTGTTTCTTCGAATTTGAATTCTCTGAGTTTATATTTCTTTTTTATTTTCTCTGTTTCTCAATTTGGGTCTCTCTTTATTTGTTCTTTTGCTCTACTTCTAAGATTTGATCACTGTGTTTGGAGGTAATTGCTTCTCTTCTTCTTCGTGCATTGCTTCTGGGTTTAACAAGTCTAAGGAATCACCAATTGTTTGCTAGATTTCAATTTTTTTAGGCAGCTTTGCTTTCAGTTTGCCTTCTAGGTGTTTGTGAAATTGCCTTCTGAAAATTTTAGTTTTGCACACAAAGAGGGTGAGATGCGAATCAAGGTATTAAGGGATGAAAAGACTGTTAGCTTCCATGATGATGAAACCATAGTGATTTGCGCTGATTGTTGGTGGAAGACAGACTTAAAAGAGAGCTCAAGAATATACCTTCTTTTTGCTTAAAAGAATGTTGATATTTGAATAAATGAAGTCTACTCTTCACAATATGTACTTTCCAGTAGCATCAAAGAAAGGAGGAGGGGCACGTGAAATCTCATTGCTATTCTTTTCTAAGGATTGAGTGCATAGGAAGCACGATATTTAGATGCACTTACCACAAAAATAAAAAAGGGACGTTGACCACCGTAGAAAAGCTATTTGTGAAGAACTCCTCGGATTAAATCCTGATATAATTTGCCTATAAGTAATTACAATTGCCTCTTGCTTATTGGTATGTTTACATATGTTCATACTTTAGATATAAAACTGATTGAAGAATTTTATTGATGTGATTGAATAGGAGATGGATAAGTATTATGATCTACTAAAATTTTTGAATAAAGTTGGATATCTCTAAGGTGCACAGGCAGAAATGCTGCTTGGTAGTCTCAAACTTGTTGCAATAGTCACTCTCAAGCTACATAAGATAATAAGAAGGTTGTTTTCTGAGTTAGTCAAGATGATTTGGCGTATCGAGAATGATGAGTGATGGAGATTGTGTGAATGGTTTATGTTTGGAAACTTCGCGGAATTATCTTCTTAGAGTAACTTTTATGTACAGGATTTCAATGGCAAGGGCCAAGGGGTGATCAAATCCATCTGCTTGTTTTACTCAAGAAATTACCAAGTCTTATGGCTGCACCAAAATGGCAAAAACGATATGCAGCAGTTACAATCATTTGTGTCACTGCGAAACGATGTTTAAAGATTTATGCCAAAGCTTTGCATATTATTATTGAATTTAATGTTTGATTCTGCACTCAAGACTGCTCCTCTCTTGGATATGTGCAGTTTGATCAGAAATTTGATTGTTATAATTGACCACTTCTACAAATAGATTGCTAAGCATACACACACACAAAAAAAAATTGTGATATCTTCTAGCTAGAAAACTTGAAATGGCACAATGATTCCTTTCTTTGTTTTTTTTTTAATGTTATTTCTTAATTTCAATGTAAGTGTTCTTCCTTTTTTTTTCAATTTTCATGCTTTGTTTTCCTCTCGTATCTTTCTTCTTTTTCTTGAAACAGGAATAAAAAATAGCTAGGTCGGCAAAGATTAAAGATTAGTCTAAGGATTCCAATATTGTCTTAAGTCGTGAAAAAATGATTGAATGTGATGTCCCAAGACGAAGAATTGGATTCCAATCATGAAAAATGAATATGTCCCTAAATAAAATGTACAAAGTCTGTTGACATACAAAATATGAAATGTGCTTTATCACACCTGGAATTCCTTTTTCAAGACTTATTTCTCTATGAACCTTTAGGTAATTCTAGCTTTTTTCCTATCTTTATGCAGTAATTTATGATAAAATATTTAATCACTCATGAGCTATCTGATCTCTTCATATGTTTAGGAGACTGATTGTAATCTGAATTTATTCTCAAACATATATCCTACCTTAAAATTTTTCGAATGTGAAAGTTTAACATATTTGTAGATAGATAAGTAGTTAAACTTTGGTCTATGTGCTTAATGTTTTATATGTATTTGAGAAAATTTCGATTGATATAATTGGATATCTTTTGCTGATGTTAAAACTTCTTCCCTAGGTTGATGAGTTGCAGAACGCAATAGAGGAATAACAGAAGAATTTGGTTGAAGAGATTAGGAATGCAGTTAATGATCATATAAGAGTAGGCTGGAGGATGCTACTGGGGATCCTGAAGTAATGGCTCTGAATTAGCGAGTGAATTACAACTAAGCTCCATGATTATAACTTTATTCTTTCATACATCAGCTAATTGTAGCAACAGATCTCCTAATGCAGTTCAAGTCTTTAACTGCTATAGCCTTTGTATGATGCATATGCTACTTCATATTAGAGGATTTACATCTCAGTAACTAGCCAACTGCTTAGAGTGCAATGCTAATATTGCATAAAAGTACTGGTACTCGAGAGGCATTTCCTTCTTCGTAACAGTTTCTTTCAGGTTATACTAGGTTTTCTTTGATCATCAGCAAAGTTTAACACTTTCGAAGTTGCTCAGAGTCAAGTCAATGACTTCTGGTAGTCTGAGCTTTATCCTTATAAGTATAGGATAAGTTGGGTTCATTTTGGTTTGGTGCTGTCAATGTTAAAGGCATAATCCAACTGGCTGCAAGGATCATGTTTGGTAGGGTCAAGATGCTTTACTTAGAATTGAGCATGAGAAATAGCATATCCCCCTATGTTGCACATGTAGCTTTAAGTGTATTGCCTTGCATCTTAGACACACTTTTCACCTACATGCACCATATGTCTAAGAATGTTCGGATCTTTAACAATATCAATATAGAATACTATTTATTATCTTCCTGAGTCTCAGTTTAATAACTTGGATATATAATTTTCCCTTGTTCTTGAATCTTGACATTCATATATAAAATACAGTATAATATAAAATGTTGTCCTCGTGCTTGCACTGGCCTATCCCATATAGTTTATGTATATGTGATAAGTTGTTGATGCAGATGGCTGATGTGAAATTACACCAATAATTAACGTTCAATAGAATAGTACTTTAAGGGGTTGTTTGGTATGATGGATACATAAAAATAATTTTGAGATAAAAATTTAGTATCACCTTATTCCTTGTTTGGTTATTAATCCTAGGATAAGTTATCCCAAAATTAAAAATAGTACCGGGATAATTTATACATGTCAGAGGGCGCAATAGTAATCTCAGGATAAAGCAGTAAAATTGATAATCTCAGGATTAATACAATATAGTACCAAATAGTCAATAAAAAATAATATCATGATAACTATTCCCAAGATAATTAATCCTAACATAACTTGTCTTCAAACCAAACGACTCCTAAGTGATTAAATTCCGTGAATATGGTCTCGTTAGCAACTCTTTTATTTAGGGTTCATCATTTTCTTCTTCTTCTTCTTCCGGAAATTACATTTACTAATGTGAAATGTTCTTTCAACCAAAAAGGCAAAAACTATTTTAGTATCATATACTATATATACTTGGTTATTTTAATAATGCAATTGTTTACTACAAGAAAATTTATGGAAAATACCATTGGTAATATTACAACTGTGTTCTAGCTCTAAAGCAATCGACTATGATTAGTTATAAGTGATCTCTTGAGTTTATCAGTACTTGTCTGATTTTGTATGCAGCGAATTACCTCAAAATGTTCTACATATGCATAAATGTTGTAGATTAACCTTCTATTATATTTCATGTAGTTGGGAAGTCCTAACCTCAAGAATAGAGCAAAAGGGCTATTATCAATTAGAACAATATAATAGACTTTCCATTTGTCCAGATCTGGAAATCATTCATGAATAGCTCAAATGTCTCCAATAGAACAAAAGAATAAAAGTCGAATATCCAAAGCCTTAAAATCACAAAAAGAGAAATTGCAACGAGTTTAGGTAAGCAATAATGGAAACTTATACCATTATCATAACTATGAGAATATACAGAACAAAACCTAAATATTCTTTCATTAAAAATCAGTTTGAAAAATGAAAGCAACTACCTAACACGACCTGAGCTCACTAAAGATTATTCCTTATCTCCATCCAGCATGCCATATATATCTCATTATTATTAAACCCTAATTTTCCAATATATTAAGCAGATATACAGAATTCTAGTTAAGTCCACCTCAATTCTTATCCACACATTTTAAATAAATCCAACAAAACAGATCAAACAACCCCATTCTATTTGTCCATGGTCGGTCAGTGCACTTTGTCTGGACCAAACCCCATTAGTGTTGCCCTCGTATCCGAGATTAGGATTTTGAGTTTTTGGATTTTCGATTCTAAGAAAAAGCTGGTTATTAGATTTTGAATAAGAAGAATTAATTTAAATAGTCATCTATTCAAGCACTAAAACTTAAAATATTCAGATATCGTGTATAATTATTATATAATCTATGTATATTGGCTAGACAAAATAAATAGTAGTAAATTCGACCGATTATTTGTGTTAAGATAAATATTAAATTAATTTATAATATAAAATTAATTTAGAACCAAAATTATTGGATTCAGTGAACTCGTAAGCAGATCTGTTTGCACCTATCAACTCCATTTTCTAATTATTATTTTTCTCACAAGGGACCTCCCATGACCCACCACAATGTCTTAATAACGGTCGGTTCACATGGATATTATTGACTGTCTTCCAGACATTTCCATAAAGAGCATGTTATTGACAGCTAGGATTTGTAAGAAAAAGAATTGATTGGATGTGTATGGCCACATATACACTTATACTTTTATTCTCCTTATCTTCTTTGTAAGGAGGAGATGCCCATACAGTGAAAAACACATGATGTGCATTAATTAACTTAATTATCATTTTTTAATACTATTTCGTAGTATATATAGGTGACAAGAACGGGCTCTTCTTGTCATCAGAAAACATTGTCTCTGTTTCCATTTTCTTCAATTCTATTTAGAATCAATTTAATTAGTTTTTTGAAAATGCCTGCCATAGCTTTTGGTCGTTTCGATGATTCATTTAGTTTGGGGTCTATTAAGGCCTACATTGCTGAATTCATCTCTACATTGCTCTTTGTCTTTGCTGGAGTTGGTTCAGCCATTGCTTACAGTTAATAACTCTTCCTCTTTTTTCCTTATATATAATTACTATATCACTCGAATCATTTTGTTCACATTTATAATGACCTTTCTATAAAAACATAATTATATAACAATCATTCACTATGAAAGTCAAGTTTCTTTTGGAATTAATTTTCATGCTATGTTATAATATATATTCTCTATAACACCACATCACTATAACGACAAAAAATTTGAAACAAACAATGATGCTATAGAGATGTTTGACCGTACATAGTAACTAAATGAATTTGGTGCGTAAAGTTTCATTTGATGAAAAATTTGGCCGCTACGTACAGTAATGCATGAATTAATTTACGTGGTTAGTAAATCATGCCCATGCAAGTAAGTGGAATAACTCTGTCTTAGGCGGATCTAGAGTGTGTTCAACAGGTTCAACTAAATCCATCACTTTCAGTTGGTATACAATTTTGAGAATGTAACTATTTACTACATATTACATATATTCTGAATTTGTTGACTCTAAATTCTAAATTTGCCTTTTGATCTATTTTGTTTTCTTTGAATTATGATTCTAAACTTACTACTGCATTGGATATGCAGACAAGTTGACAGCAGATGCTGCTCTTGATCCCGCGGGGCTTGTAGCAGTTGCAGTTTGCCATGGGTTCGCTCTGTTCGTGGCGGTTTCCGTTGGGGCTAACATCTCCGGTGGTCACGTTAACCCCGACGTTACTATGGGATTGGCTCTTGGTGNGCAGTTGCAGTTTGCCATGGGTTCGCTCTGTTCGTGGCGGTTTCCGTTGGGGCTAACATCTCCGGTGGTCACGTTAACCCCGCCGTTACTTTGGGATTGGCTCTTGGTGGCCAAATTACAGTTCTTACTGGCCTCTTCTACTGGATTGCTCAACTTATGGGCGCCACTGCTGCCTCCTACCTCCTCAAAGTTGTCACCGGAGGATTGGTAAGTTCTTCAATCTCTCGAACGATATTTAAGTTATATATATTGACAGTATGATTTTTTTTATATTGGCAGTATAATTTAACTTGCTGTTACATATATATCTTACTAATTAACCATGTTCTTGATCAGTGTAGGCACTAACTTATGATTGGATTTTTAAGTATTCTGGTAATATAAATACTTTTTACATCATTAATACATTAAATTTTATTGAGCTTTCTTATGAAAGTGGAAGCATCCTTCCTAGACTTCTCATTATTCTCAATCTACATAACACAATGCAATTTAATTCCCATGACTATACCACATGCGAGTCTAGGATTTAAAATTCAGAATGAGAGTGATCTTATTATATTTATATATTTTATTTTATATTCTTGCATACGCATGTTTATATAGTTGGAGCTGAAAATAGTACGTTCGCTTAAATCTATATAACCCATTCTAGATCTGCTTCTAAGTACACCTAAATTTCAATTTTTAGCCATATTTTGACGTCTAACTTGTTTTTTTTTTCAGGCTGTTCCAATCCACAGTGTAGCAGCTGGAGTAGGAGCTGCTGAAGGAGTAGTGATGGAAATAATCATCACATTTGCATTGGTGTACACAGTGTACGCCACAGCAGCTGACCCCAAGAAGGGTTCATTGGGCACAATTGCACCCATTGCCATTGGTTTCATTGTTGGTGCCAACATCTTGGCTGCTGGCCCATTCTCTGGTGGTTCAATGAACCCAGCTCGCTCCTTTGGACCTGCAGTGGCTAGTGGTAACTTCGCTGGTCACTGGATTTACTGGATTGGACCCCTTGTTGGTGGTGGCTTGGCTGGTCTTATCTACAGTAATGTGTTCATGAACCACGACCATGCCCCTCTATCCACCGATTTCTAAGTTAGAATTTGATCATTGTGTCCAAAATCCATTTGCCTTTTGTAATAAAGGAAGAAAAAGGTAATATTTTGCTTTTTCTTTCTTTTGTATTAGTAACTTTTGTTTTTGATTTTTTGTTTCTTTCTCTAGCTTTTGGTTTGCAGCTGTACACATCCATCTTTTGGTGACATGTTGCTGTCTACTTGATTTATGAATTTGGGGAGATCGAAAGGCAACCATTCATTGATATTGTCGTGTTTTATCTTTTCAAAATTTACTTTTTCCCCTTTTATGCTCTTGTGGGTAATTTTTAAAAATTTGCGAATAGTAGGGATGAATTTGGCCGGATAACGATATGGATAAATTTGGCCGGATACCGAATAGTATAATAGAAGGTTAGATTTAGACAATATTCAAAAATAGAAAGATAAATTTGAACCTTTTCCCGAGGATGTTTGATTGGACACATAGTTTATGGTCAAAAACAAATTATAAAAATTTATATGGTTATAAATTATCTCGTTAAGAATAACATAAAAAATTTAAAATTAAA